AGCTACACGCTAGAGCGCATCCAAGGCGGACTCTCCGGAGTCTTGTGTGCAATTGTCAAATCATTGCACAGTGCAGAACATCAAAGAGGTTTTCGCCTAACGTTGAACGGTGTAGACACGACTGTGAGACTTCGCAGTCCAAGCTTGTTGATCTCGGATCACGATGCCCAACGGGCCACATATTCGGTGAAGGGATCTGAGGGAATGTTGCCTTGCATAAGTTGCTGCAACGTTTTAAACAAAAATGTTCAGACCACGCCACCTGAAATCGTGAACATTGGAGAAGCGAACTATCTCAAATTTATTCCACGAACAGATCAAGCATACTTCGATGCCTGCGCGGCTATTGAAGCAGAAGGCAGCAAGACCAAGAGGGCAACCTTGGAAAAGGCCAATGGAATTAAATGGCTTTTGGGCGCTCTGCTCTTTGATGCAGAAGCGCGTCAGCACCTACCCCCAAGTATATCCAACACGGATGTGCTACATGATTATTTCAGCAATGGAGTGGCTTCGTGGGAATGCGGAGCCCTCATAGAGCATTTGGAAAGCTTGGGAATGCAAAGGTCGGATCTCCTTTCCGCCGCCCAAGCGGCGGAATGGAAGAAGCAGTTTAATGCCTGGCGTTTTCTTCCATCGGAAATCGAAAGGATGCTTGGGGAAAAGTTGTACGACAGCGGAGGTTATAAGGGACAGGGTATAGACTGCCAGTTCCTGGTGCCTTTGTTGTCGTATTATGTAGAACTGGTGGCGGACCATGTCGGTGAGCTCACGCCGAAACTGGTGTCCTTCCGCGCCTTGGCCCGGTGTTGTCGAGAACTATGGAAACTGAGATTCAGATACCAACCTATTGTGGATTATGAGCCTGTGCTAGAGTTAGCCAAAAGACAATCAGAGCACCAAACTACGTGTTTGAGCTTATGAAATCACTTTCATCCGACCTAAACACCATCATCGCCTCCACATACCACAAGCATGCGTCATGTTAGGCGCACTGCCTTCTTGCGCAACAATGGAGAAAAAGCACCGCTGCTTAAAAGGTGGCGGCCTGTTCGACAAGACTGAGTCCCTGGTGAACCAGTCTGCCAGGTGGCAAAAAGCAGTCAACCCCAAAATGCTAGAGCTCAGCTGGCCAAATACAGAGTCATTCCTTCACGCAAGCCTAAGTGAGGCCATCAAGCCGGCCAGCACTGGAGATCAGGCGGCATTCACAGATACAACCCTCCGGCAAAGCACCAAATGTCATTTGGTCTCAAGGAGACTGCGCGTGGCAGATGTGTTGCTTTGGGAAGGTGAGTCAGCTGGCCAGATTGAGAACATTGTGGAAGGTGACTCTACCGCTATACACCTGGAACTCAAAATGTTTGAATACGTTTCCTCCTTACCATATGGCAGTCTGTGGCGCAGACTGCATCGCAGATCTTGGTATAAACCCAAGATCAACAGCACATATTGCGTAGCAATGTGGTGGCGCTGGGATGATGACAAGAATCTCCTCCTATGTTTGCACTGAAAACGTTTCGCGAGTCGAAAAAAAAGAGAGTTCTTGCGTAAAATAAACGAATCGAACAACATTTGATTGAAAAGACCAAGGCCTACTTAAGTCCTACTTATAACCTAGGTTTTAACTCCTACAAGTCCACTTATGCATAAGTTCGATAACTAAGTTATAACATCTACAAGTTAACTACAAATAGCCACAGCCACCTAGTAGGTTGAAGGCAATCGCTATTAATTAGGTTGGAGGCCATTGCTATTATTAGGTTAGAGGCCATCGCTATTATTAGGTTGGAGGCCATCGCTATTATTAGGTTGGAGGCCATCGCTATTAGGTTGGAGGCCATCGGTAGGGCATTTTTGTTCATCTAACTCAATTGGTACTGCTTGTCTCGTCCCAACACTGCTAGACAGGGGTGAGCTTTACGGTGACGCAGGATTGATGAGGTGCGCAAGCGAATAGACGTCCAGACCGTTGCGCGGGCAACCGACGGGCAAAAAGAGCTCAAGGCAAGCCAAGATGCAGGTGGGTGTCGCCTGCTGTAGTATTGGAGTTGATTCATCGGTGGTGTGGGAATGGGGGCGGCTTGGTTCAGAATTTGAATCCACTACTTGCCAATGCCTCCAAAGGCAGAAAGACAACATATTACAATTCCACAATTTGCCGCAAGGCTCCAGCGATGATGACAAGCCGACAACAGTTCCAAACTTGTTGGAGCTCAGTCTGGAGGCTGCAATGCACAAAATTGAGGCAAAACTGGATTTGATGATGGAGAGAACGGAAAGCCCAACCAGCATCACAGGCTTTTCAAAGCTTCGAAGCGACGCTTGGCGACAACTCCTCTGAACTGTGCTCTAGTCCAACATACTGGATCTATGGCAAATGACCTTTTCGAATGAATTATGTTAATAAACTATGTTGCATAAGTTGAGGTGATAGACAAGCTGACCTGACCTCAAAACCAAGTATTAAGTACAGTAGCCGCTAAGTAGCTGCTGCAGGTTGACGGTTAACACGAAAGACGCCTGTCCAAGCACGCTCAAGTAAAAATGTTCACATCACAACAACGTTGCCTACATCCATCATGTTTTGATCCGGGTTTAGGGCTTCCATCCTCCCATGTGATTGCAGGAGATGAGTGAGGCGATGGAGAGTGCCTCTTTGATACCTTCGCGTCCCAGGAAACCTTTCCTTCGCCCGGACCCATTTACTAGAATGTGTTTCGGCTCAATTTTGCTCAGCTTCATCACACAATTGATACTATCGGATCAGTCACTACAAAACACGAATCCCAATCCCTTTAGCAATCACAATCCAATGTCCCTGGGGCAGGGATCACATTGGCCCCAGGTATATGAGGCGTGAAGTATCTCCCCGCGACAGAATAGAGGCCAAGGGCTGATGTTATGCGGGCGTCGAAGGTGCCGGGTTTTGCGAAGGTAGAACTTGCAAAAGGCCGAAGCTAGTCCGTCCAGTCATGTCCAGTAGTCATGTCCATCCTGAGTTTATTTATTTAGTAGTATTTTCTATTATGTTTTGTTTTTAAATTAATTGTGTCCCTTCACTTCCCATTGCTTGATCATTGTCCCAAGATTTGCAGCTTTGCCTGTTTAGTGAATCAAAAGCTGAAAACCTGTGCCGCGTTTCTGCCAAATACATAAATTGTTCTGAGTTTACGGCTATAGGATGCATTGAAGGGAGTCGTTCGCAGGCACTCGCATCGTTTCAAATCTTATTATATAGTTCAGACTTCAGAGCCATTTGCTTGTTCAACGGCAAGGTTTTTGTTTTTCTTTGCACCACATATTTTGGCAGCAATGACATGCAAAGTCCCAAGCACTACCTTTCTTTGCTTTGGCAATGGCGGCCGAGTTGCTGGCATATAGAGACACAGCGCCACTGCATCGATCGTTGGCCCAATGGTGGTTCATTGAGCCCAAATATGAAACCGATGACACTGTTCTGACACTGATGACAATGTGCTGCATGTTGATGACAACCTCGTGTTTTGTAGTGCTTCTTAATTCCAAGACCTCTCGACCTCTGTATGACGCTGACGCTATTGTCTCAATTGATAAAAGGAACTGCTTGCTTTCGAAGCCGTTTGTCATTGCCATTGCTGATAGCATCATTTCGCAAACCGCTCGCAAGACAGTGTTGCAGTCCTAATGGAACCTTTGCACTGGTACCCCGCTTCACGCACCCCCTCCCATGTTCAATCACACAACCACGCGACGATAATCTTGTGAACGTGATGACACTGGTGTGATGCTCAAGCCAGCTGCACATACGCGCAAGCCTCCAGTCTATCCATTCCCAAACCACAGTTTGCAACACCTCCAACAAGGAATGTAGCTGGTGCAAACTGCAAGTTGATGGAGTCTGACTTTAGAGGTGGAGCAGTGAGGATATTCATGTTTCTTATACTTCTCAGATCTTCTCAGCAGTGGCCTTTGTGTCTTTATATAAAGGAAAACACAAGGTCATTTTGTGTGTTGTTAGAATCAAAAGGACTGATGTCTAGACATGACTAAAGACCGACATGTGAGTACCGTGCAAACCTCATTGCGCATGGCAAGAAGAGCCTACATATAATATGCGCTTGAGACCATTTGCGCATGTGGTCTTGGAAGTTTGACAGGAAACTTGAAAACACTTGGGCATGAACCGAAGCCCTTTTGAAGCCAGGAAAAAGTGTGGCGGTGTAGTCACGTGCGAACTCGTGGGTTATGAGCCCAAAGTAGCGCCATGTCGAGCACTCCATCGATGGCTTCAGCAAGCTCTGGAAAGAAAAGGATGGTGGCCATCAATCCCTTCTGGTCAGACACCGTGAAAGGTGAGGCGATCCTAAGGAGCCTCAGGCCGTTGTCGCTCCCGCCGAGCATGGAAAGGGGGAGAGGAAGGGAAGGGTGCGGCTTGCCAATTGGGGCATTGAAAGTGGGGCCTGAAGTTGAAGAAGCTCTGCCCTAAGTCTGCTGATTACCTAAATTTACTAAATTAGTAAATTTACAAAAATTGATGAAATTAGGTCGTTTTTACCTAAATTTTTGTGTAAATGTAAATTTTGAAGGAATCTATGAAGTTCATCAAAAGTTCTTCAAATGTTCTTCAAAACTTCTTCAAAACTTAGTTGTGGATAAGTAATGCTTACTTGTGCCCAAGGTTCTCAGCTATGATTCTTGACTCAAAATCAAGTCAACTTGTACTTGTGGATTACTTGTGGCCCTGGTTCTCATGTATGACTTTTTGCTTGTGGATGACTTGTGTCCAAGGTTCTCAAGTATGACTGTGGAGCATACTAGTACTTTGGCCAAGGTCCTCATGTATGACCTTTACTTGTGAGTTACTTGTGGGCAGGATGCCTGTGCTTGAGTTACTTGTGAGCAAATGTCCTGGAGCAAGTAAGGAGCAACTTCTTTTTGGAGGAGCGCACACAAGTTGTTCAGCCCACTTTGTGCCTAAGAAAAAGCAAATGCCTTTCTTTCAAGGCTGCCTTCTTGGAAACTTGCCAATGCTTGGAGCCAGCCAAGCAACTTTTCCAAAGTTTCTGGACCCTCTGCATGGTCTCTTCACCTTTGAAACACCACACTAGGCAAGGGTGTATGTACCGGGCCAGAAAGAGGCTGTGTAAACAAAAGTGGGTCTTTCTGGTCATATTAAACAATTCCCTTTCTTCACCTGCATAGAAATCCATCAACTGCCCATGGAGCTGGGCCATCTGCAGCCCCTGTGTGTAGAGCTTAGCAGCCTGGTCCTGAGGAATTGCCAAAAACACAGAAGTAGGGTGAAACTCTTGTAAGCAGCTGTGGAGCAAAACATTGAGGTTGAGGAACACCTGGATGAGTTTGTGTTGGTGGTCACTGGTGTCCATGTGCTCCTTCCACAGTGCCCACATTGCTGGGGCCAGGCCATAGATGTCTGCAGCCCTACCTTTGAGTTTGGGATAGCCAGACTTTGGTTGGATCATGGTCAGTTTGTCAAGTCTGGGCCTGAACTTGTACTTTGTCTCATGTGTGCTCTGGTACCTTCTGATGTAAGAGTCAACCTCCAGGAGGTTCTGGAGCGCCTCTCCTGGTAGACAATCATGAACCAGCAGTGCAATGACAGATGCATAGAAGTATTGAATCCATCCAAGGAAAAAACAATGCATCCAGTCCATTGTGATGGACAAAGCTGACAGGCCTGGAAGCTGAAACAGAGGGCAGGGAGAATCAAAATGGCTTCTCCATGAGGCAGGTGTGAGCAATGCATTCTGCCACCCTGAGTTGGGTCTGTTGTCCAGCCAACTGAGGTGGCCTTCGAATGTAGCTCTGCACTGACTGCAGCACTTGGAATGTGAGCTCCATCTGGGTGTGCTCAAGTATTTCGCATAGTAATCTAGATCTCCTGCAAGCTGCAGGAGGCAGCCATACCATCCTTGGGCAAGCTGTGCGCCAGCCTTTCGACCTTCCACTGAAGTAGGGGGGTACCTGTGAGCTGAACATAAACTGGGGTCCAAAAGGTGTCCATCAAGAACTTTTGGTGGAAAGATTCAAAACTGCCAATGCTCCAATGCCAAAACACATGTTTCCCAGCCAGTCCCTTGCAGGCCATTTGCCTTGCCAAATGCAATCGAAGCTCCACCTCAACAGGGTCCACAGTGCTGCCATTGTGCCCTGGGTAAATTCAGAGGCTGGCAAAATGAACTTCTCAAACAAACCGAAGATGTAGAGGTTGGTGTCCTCCAAAGATGCACCTCCTGCAGTGGCCATAAGAGAATTCCAGGAAAGGATCAAGGCTGACCTGCACCAGATTTTGCCAATCCCTGTCACTGGCACCTCATCACCATGAAGTGCCAGTGGGATGCACTTGGTTTTGTAGCCCTTCCTCTTGTGAAGAGGATGTTGTGCCATACAGGGGTGGCCCTGGAAGGCTGACCAAAAAGCTTCTAGCTTGTTTGTGTCAGGCAGGATCGACTTAGCCCAACCATTTGGATTCTCATGTAGAGCAGCAAAAAGCTCATGGGGCAACATAACTGAGGCAGAGGCACACAGTGTGGGCTGCCCCTTCAGGGGGATGTCCACCTCTTGGAGCTGGGGCAGATTGGCCTCCTTCTTCAGCGCATTGAAGACTGCCTGTTGTAAGTTTTTGCCATGCTGCAGGTTTGCCAAACTGTTGAGAGTTGGAAAATGAAAGCCTTCAGCTGCAGCATCAAGGTCTGCTTTGGCAGCTTTGGCAACTGCATGGCAATGGGCCCCACTGATGATTCCTTGGGCAAGGTAGGACATCAAAAGTGTATAGAGAACACTTTCCTTTGTAACCTCCTGGGTGGCAGCTGCCTCCCTTTGTCTTATCCCACCCTTCCTCCTTTTCCTGCTGGGCCCAGCAGCTTCCATGGGTAGGAGTGAAACTGAAAACAATAATTACTTGTATATTGAAAGTTCTTTGACCAAAAGATCTGCAGCATGACAACACAAGTACTTGAGTCTCAGGAACAAGTTTCTCCTACAGTATTCCTATCACAAGTACTAAGTTTTCCAAAGCCAGAACTTTTGGCCACAAGTATCAAAACTAGTTTCAGACCTCAACAATATTGTTTCACTGGTCAAGTACTTGAGTCTCAAGTCTTTTCCATTCCAGGTACAAGTTTTTCCTGAAGTATTCCTATCACAAGTACAAAGTTTTCCAAACACTTCCACAGTAAGAGGCGCAGTGAAATCATGTTTTTCACCACAGAGCTCTCTCACAGGCTCCTGTTCAAAAACCTTCAAAAACCAAGTGCGCACAACACAGGATCTAGGTCCAAGTTGTCAATAGAGGATCTAGCGCACAACACAGGATCTAGGTCCAAGTTGTCAATAGAGGATCTAGCTGTCCCCATCTTTCTTCTTTCGGCTCGCCCTGACATTCACCTGGGCCTTCAAAGCTGCAAAGACTTCCTCAAGCCTGTCAGCTTCCTTTCCCACTGCCATTACCTCCCCCTCATAGAGATCCACAGTCAAGTCTTGGCCATTTGGGAGTTCCTGCAAATGGTGAAATGTAAATGCAGCCAAACAATGAATGTTTAGTATTCCTTGTGATGAAAAACCATAGTTTTCATTGAGCAAACCATGCAACAACATAGTGCTGTCATGAAAGAAATCATGTGAGAAACACTATCTAACTCAAAGTTGGTCCTTCCAGTTCCACATGTGCTCGAGTCTGGCCTTTGCATTGGCAGTCTCCTGGGCAAGCGTCTTCCTTAGCTGTTAACTAGGCAAGTTCTTTTTCACAAGAGGGACACTTTTCTTTCACAAGTATGCATATTCACAAGCACACACACTCTTCACTTAGAAGTCCAAAGAGCCTATTCTCTAGTACTAGGTTTTAAGAAGCTCCTTTCTCAAGTACAAAAGACATTTGCAGTAAACATAAATGATAAGTGCAGTCCAAGGCTCAGTTGGGGCCACAGTGGGTCTTCTCGGTTGTCAACACCCACTGTTTGCAACAGCTTCTTGACATTGGACAACTGCTTGTCCATGGCACTCATGGCCATGCTCAGCTGCTTTTGCGCTTGGCCCCATTGCTTGCTTGTGAGTCCCTTCTTGGTATCCTCCAAGGCAAGGTGGGTGCCCTTGGAAGAACTCGAGGTGGTGCTAGGCTTGAAGAGGCCTATCTTCCAGTCCTTGCTCATGTTGGCAAACAGCTCTGCATCTGCCTTTGCGCCTTCCTTCTCTTGCTGCTGCTGGGTATTGCTCCTCTTGCCTCTCAGCTCTTGGTGCTCATCTGACCTCCAGGCATAGCTCACCTTGCCATCCTTTCCCTCCACCTCCTCGATGTCTCCTGACATCAAACCGGCTTGAAAGGCGCTTTCATCCAAGTGGAATTTGCCCATCAGCAAGACCTTTGGTAGGGTCTTTTGTTTGTGTGAGGACACGCTCTCCTTGTATGTCTCTTTCATCTCCTTAAACAAGGGCTTCTCAGTGCTCAGGACCAGCTTGCCTCCAGAGCTGTCAAAGGCAGCATTCACTATCTCCCTTTGTTTCTCTGTCCTGCCTGACTTCATGGTGAGTGTGGCATTGTAAGCCTCCTCCAACCAACTTGGAAGTTGGTGTTGCGCAAGTAACCTTTTGAACTTGGCGTCCTTGCTCCTGTCCTTCTTGTTGGCTTCAGGTTCCTCACCCTGGTCCATGGCAAAGTCGGTATCACATGGGTCATGCTCCATCTCTTCTTCCTCAGGCTGCTCATCACTTGTCTCTTCCTCCTTGTCCAGTGCCTTTGCCCAAGAGCTGCACCCCTTGGAACTAGAGCCTTGTCCTTTCTTTGGTTCTGCTTTCTTTGGCTCTGCTTTTTTCAGAAGCAGCTGGTCGCTTCAAGGTTGGTTTGTCACCATCGCCATCCTTTACCTTCTTGTTCTTGCCCTTGTTTGAAGCAGATTTGGCCTTTGCCTTGGCCTTGCCCTTAGGCTTTCCTTTAGCCTTTCCCTTTGCTTTTGGCTTTGCTGTGGCTGGCTTTTTCATGGATGGTGTCTCAGGCAGACCTTTCTCCTGAGAAGCTACCAAGAGATCCTCATTCCCATGAAGCTCTTCATCCTCATTGGGCTGGCTCATGAGGCCAAAGATACTATGAGACTATGAGTCCAAACACACACTTGTGAACCACAAAGCAGCTGTCATGAAGCAAAGCTTCCTAAACCTATACCTGAGTCTCTTCAAGTGGCATCACATGTACAATCACAAGGCACAAGTACCAAGACATGGACAAAGTCAAGTGCATCACTCCTCACAGGTAAAGTACAGGTAAGCTCAAGTACAAGTCCTCAAGTACAAGAACAAGTCACAAACTCAAGTGCATCACTTCCTCACAGGTAAAGTACAGGTAAGCTCAAGTACAAGTCCTCAAGTACAAGAACAAGTCACAAACTCAAGTGCATCACTTCCTCACAGGTAAAGTACAGGTAAGCTCAAGTACAAGTCCCCAAGTACAAGAACAAGTCACAAGTGAGAACAAGTCACTTTTTATTATGTTTAGTGAATCTTTGATGATTCTTTGATGAATTTTTGATGAATTTTTGATGAACTTTTGATGAATTTTTGATGAACTTTTGATGAACTTTTGATGAACAAAAAAAGTTCATCAGAAGTTCATCACTCACCTTTAAAAAGTTCATCAAAAGTTCATCAGTTTAATGAACTTTTAAAGTTCATCAAAAGTTCATCAAAAGTTCATCAAAAATTCATCAAAAGTTCATCAAAAATTCATCAAAAATCATCAAAAGTTCATCAAATAATCATCAAAGATTCACTAAACATAAAAAACTGTACAAGAACAAGTCAAAGGTTTACAAGACTGAAGTAGGCTCAGGTACAACTCCTCAAGAACAGTCCTCAAGAACAAGTTCAAGAACAAGTCCTCAAGTACAAGAGCCCCCAAAACCTATCTATCACCCCTGAACACCTCTCACACCACCTACAGCTCAAGCACACCTTTTCATACCCACAGGGATGGGTCAGCTCTCCCTGTAGATCTTGCTGAGGAGCTTCATCTTCTTCGCAAACCTGACAGGGACAACAGTGTTTACATGCATGGGCATCTCAACTACAGCTCAATACACAAAGCTTTCATCTTTGCAAATCTTCCTCAAGTACAACTCCAACCCCAGTTCTACACAAAGTGTGTCTATTTTAAACTGCAAATCTCAAGCCGACACCTCAAGTACAAGAACAAGAGACAAATAATGCACAAATCTTGAGCCATCCTGCCTCTTCATCCTAGGTGACATGGATGACTCTGAAGAAGGTGGTGTAGGCTTCCTCCTATGTGGCCTCTTCTTCACCTTCTCCTGTGGAAGATCCTCGCTCTTGTCCTGGCGCATCTTCTCTGGATCTTCCTTCTGCTCATCCTCACCCTCTGGCTCCTCCTTCTCAGGTTCTGCCTGACTCTCTTCTCCCTTCTCCTCTCCCTTCTCCCCATCATCTATTCCGTTCTCATCCCCTTCCTCTTTCTCTTTCTCTTCCAAATCTTCTTCTTCCTTCACATCATCCAACTCCTCGACTGGTAAAGTTGAAGGTGAGCTAGGTCGCATTGAAGGTGAAGCAGCCTTGGAACTCACAGGGGCAGTCTTGGCACTCGAAGGGGCAGCCTTGGACTTGCACGCTGGTGGTGATGAAAGTGTGCCAGGCAATGGAACCTGCCACCATGGATTCTCCCTGAAGCTGGAAGCCTTAGTTTGAAGTGGCAAGCAATGGAAGAGTGGGTCTTCAAAACCAAAAACAGCTATACAAACCACAAACAAAAGACATTCACATATACATTTGATCAAACATGGAAAAAGCAGTTGATGAAACCATGCTAGAGACAACAGAACCTTTGGCAACCATAGGTCCACCAGGAGTGTGGAACTCCACTGGTGCAGCTGTTGGCCTGACACCTCCAAGATAGGGCGCATAATTGCCAGGACCAGGCTTTGGATGAGCTCTGCACACATTGAGCTCCTCAAATGGAGGTCAGGTATGGAATGATGAGATCAATAAAACACCTCAACATTGAATCAACACTTCATCAAACTTGCATCAACAGATTCATGAACATTTTACCTCAAAGACTGCACCAAAGCCCTCAACAGTGCCCTCAACAGGTCCTTCTGGTCCACCAACTGCGGCATCCAAGTATGTGCCATCAGGCAACTGAGGCCATGTTCCAAAGCAGCTTCATCTTCCATCTCAAGATACACACTCATGTGTGGTCCTTGGGCTTGTCCATGTCGAGCTCTACAGAGCTGTATGGCGCGCAGCCCATAGACGCCAATGTCATAGCAGCACTGTCTGATTTCCTGACACACTGGCAGTGGAGTTTCTGAAGGATGTAGCTACTGCAACAAATGGTAAAACACAAAAACATGAAAACCTATTTTGGTCAACCATTCCCAGGTGCTTTCTTTGAGCAGCTCTGTTTCACATTGCACAAGTAAATGCGTGCTGCCATGGCTGTTTCAGGGTGGTACAGTGAAGGAATGGGTGCCGACAAGGTTCTCAGAACAAGTGTTTACTTGAGATAACTTGAGGTACAAGTGAAGTAAGCACAAGTCCTATATGATACTTTCTGAAATGCATCTACCTGATCACATGAGATGGTGGTTGGTGTTTCTGATCATGTATTTAGTTGAGGCTACTGGTAAATGATTGGTTTCACTGGGATGAAGGAATGGTAGTCCACAAGGTGCTCAGAACAAATGTACCTGAGATTCATTGTTTGCATGATTGAACGCCCTGACATCACATATACTTGAGAATGTGCATCGCAGCGACTCACCTAGTGAAGACAATTCAAACTGTTGTCCACCCATAGTGAAGACAAGTCACTAAACAGTGTCAAACATATATCTTCACAAGTAAAGCTCAAGTACAGGTTTGGAAACATGCGCAGGTAAAAACTTATCACAAGTGACTATATAACCCTCACAAGTACACTCAGGCACAGCACATGTACAAAAAATCACAAGTAATCAACCCTCACAAGTAATCTCAAGTAAAGCAAAAAACATACTCGCAAGTAATCAACCCTCACAAGTAATCTCAAGTAAAGCAAAAAAACATCTTCACAAGTAATCAACCCTCACAAGAAAACTCATGTAAAGCACAGGTACAATCCTCACAAGTGACCAACCCTCACAAGTACACTCAGGTACATCACATGTACAAAAAATCACAAGTAATCAACCCTCACAAGTAATCTCAAGTAAAGCAAAAAACATATTCACAAGTAATCAACCCTCACAAGTAATCTCAAGTAAAGCAAAAAACATCCTCACAAGTAATCAACCCTACAAGAAAACTCATGTAAAGCACAAACACACTCCTCACAAGGAATCAACCCTCACAAGAGCACTCTCATGTAAAGCACATGTACACAAAATCACAAGCACAGGTACAACTACACCTCTTTTCACCCAATCCCTGACATCACTGTGGATGTCCCCTCAAGCTGGTCGCAAGAACTCAGCTCAAATCAGCAATGATCTTGGCCCTGAGCTCATACAACTCAGAGATACTCTTGCCATCGGCAACATGAGGCACTAGCCTTCGGCAACACTCTTGGTGACAACCTTTGGCCACAGACCCAATGATGGACTTCCACTTACCACAAGAGCTGTCCATGTACCTGATGTAGGACTTCTCACTGTACATTTCCAGCTTGCACCGGCCCCAATTGCTGCTGTCAAAGGCATAGGACTTAGTTCCCTCAGCCTTGGGCACTGCATCTTTGGTCTTGGTTTGCTTGGGCACTGCATCTTTGGTCTTGGTTTGCTTGGGCACTGCATCCTTGGTCTTGGTTTGCTTGGGCGCTGCATCTTTGGTCTTGGTTTGCTTAGGCGTGTTTTTTGGCTTTGGGCAGGCACTCTTTTTGGTCTTTTTGCCTTTGGCCTTCCTCTTGCCTGCCTTCTTCTTAGAGCCTGTCTTTCTCCCCTTGAAAGCAGGAACATATTTGGCAGCTTCTGCAAGCAAATTGGCTTCAGCCATTGGGTCAACCATTGAAGTCGCCATCTTTGACCCTTCAAGGATTCTCTCAAAGATGGATGGAACCGGTTTCAAAGAATGCGGCATGATGGAGACAGGCTCTTTCTCTTCCACCTTGCACTTCTTTGCCTCAGGTAAGCTCAATGCCAGTGGCAGCCTGCTTGCCCCTGGCAAGCTCTTTGCTTCAGCTTCATAAGGAACAATGGCAGTGCACACACTCTTGGGCTTTCCAAGTTCTTCCTCACTGGAAGGGGACCAGAAGTTGGCAGGAAGCTTGATTTTGTCCAAGCAGAGTTCAATGCGCACTTGTTCCTCCCTGCTGAGCATCCTGAAGACTTTGGCTTTCAAAGTCTCACATGTTTTCAAAGTGCGTAGCATGGCTAGCAGGATTCTGACAGCAGTGTCCATTTTGTCTAGCACATCCTCCAACTTGCTATTCTTGGGCACATTCACTGTCAAAACCTTGTTGGTGTACAAGACTTGCAAAGCCTTCTGGACCTTTGTGCTTTGTAGCTTCGTGTTCTCAGCAATGCTGAGAAAGTCGTACAGCAGTCCAATGACCTTGCTGATCCAGGGGCCACACACTGGAGTGTGCCACCCAGGACCACTGGGTGGAGGACATACCAGGGACCACAAGTCACCTGTCTTCTTGTAGGTCATGTAGTTCTGGAAAATATCCTGGATCTGAGAGACAGTGATCATGGGGTCAGCAACCAATCTCACTTTGGAAGCCCCTTCAGCCCTGCTTTGAACTACAGACTCCATGTGCTCAGCCATAGCTGCTTCAAGGCAGGCCATTGCTTTCAGTGAAAATGAAAGAACCTATCCCAACAAACTAGGTCTCTTTGTGCCAATCCTTCACTGCACAATGGAAACTTTTCATGTGTCACACAGTGAGACACAAGTACAACTCCTCAAGTACAACTCCTCAAGTGGCACTGCCAGCCATGACATGTCTTCCAAAAGGCAAGGCACATGGCTCAAGTACAAAGGATACAATGCACTGTCTCAAGTACACAAAGTGATTTCATGTGCAACTGAGTAAAGAGGTTTCTCAAGTGAGGGTCAAGTAAACTGATCTGGTCCCAAGTAAG